TTACACAATGTTCAAACTGGAAGTTACCAGTCTAAATAGTTCAGAAAATTCTTTAGCCTCAGGCTGTATATATGGCCTGCTTTTCAGACACCATATTTCTCATTGCTGATGAGGCTAAAGAATATAGTCCTACTTTGACAAATAAATGGCCCATTCCCTTGCCAAGCAAATACTTAATTTACATATTTTCCCCATAAAACTGCTAGCACTAGCCATAACACCACTCAGCCTACACAGTCCTGGTTTACTAAAATAACCTAGAGTGACACAGAAAAATTTGATAACGCAGAACTTGTTCCAATTAGCAAGACAAAAAGACATTTACACTTATCAGTGTAACTTTGGTCAAGTAATTTTCAAGGCTACTTCAGACTGTCCAGCTTAAAGATGCCTTCCTAGTAATCCATTTCATTTATAACTTTTTTTTTTATTATTAACAACTGTTCATACTAAGGTGCTGTATCAAGGACAGTCCCAAAAGCATGGCTAGATTACCATATAAAATTCACCTTTTTAGTAACCCTATCATTTTCCTACACTTTTACAGAGTCATCGTAATTGCTGGCTTGGGGTGTTTTTTTTTGCGGGGGGGAGGAATTGTTAACTAATTTGTATCTCTGTTTGCATTGAATGAGATGTGTCAGCCTGGAACTGGATCCAAGTTTACTGTTAAATCCCAGGATCATTTTGCGCTGTGGACATTGAACACAACCAGCTCTTTACTTGTAGGACAATGAACAGAACCTGACAATGAACTTTTATGTTCATAAGCAAACATATTCAGATTTATTCTAGTGCTTTACATCTTCTGCCATGGAGGCACTACTACGTTTCAGTGATCTGATAAAAGAGGTTCAGAAATCTAAACCCAAAAGGGAAGGTTAATCTACTGATGATCAATTGGAATTGATCCACATCAAAGTGCATAATTCAAGTTACTATGGGGTACAGGAGATGAGAAATGACAGATCCTGTTAGGTTTGCTTTCTCTCTCAAACAAAACTAGAATGGTTTTGAAGTGGAAAAATGCTAACAGTTTAGTTTAAACAAATAAATCTATCAGTGTCGCTTTTGTGCTTAAAAGACTGTGTTACCATTTCCTGCAATTGTATCACAAGCCATAAGCTATCTGGTGTTTTCCTTAAGGCCTAAGCTCCCAAAGTCAGAGGATTATATGAGAATCTCAGCTTTCATTTAAATTTAAAAACAAACAAATCCCACCCCCCTCCACAAACAACAACTTTCTATCTTTCTAGGCTGGCTTTTGCTTTCTGTCTCCAGAAAACAAACTAAAATAACCCTACATCTATTGTTTTTAAAAGTTCATGGCTTTTTAAACCAAAACTCACAATGTTTGGGCACTTGCAGCTTTGAAATGCTGTAATGCTGAAGCAAAAAGAACACGAAGCATATCCCCGTGCATATGACTTGCCTGATTAAAATACCTACAACTTTAATCAAGTAAAGGTTTGAATGCATGTCAGACTATCTAAACTAAATATAGTGGAAATTAGAGTGTGTGTCTGCTGCATTGCCACCAGATGGTGCATATTCTCATTACAAAGATGAGCGGAGACATTTCTTTCATGGGAGTAGCCAGATGCATAAAAAAACCACTCGGATCCTAGTGGAAGCAAACAAGTAGCTACCTCAAGAAAGCAGACCGATGGAGTCAAACATAGGCTGGATTGTCCTGGATGGTGCAGAGCATGGTCATATGTGGCATCAGAGCTGAAATACTCTATGACAGTAGTTCTCAACTGTTTTAGACCCATTACCCTTCTTAGACTCGAGGCACCCCTTGGTAGACTCAAGGGCCATGTCCAGATGTGTGTGCACATTTGTTTCCCTGGGGACAATTAACGGTGTTGCACCTTGTGCCACCGCTAGTTGTCCATGGGGAATGCCTATGACATATGCACTTTGGCTCATGGCAAGTAACCCCAGGTACGGTAGGAGAGGCTGGAGCCAGCACTGGACTGCACCCAGCAACCTTACCTGGCATCCGGGGGGCATCCTGGGACTGCAGCCATGCCACTCCTGCCGTGTAAAGCCTGGCTGGCAGTGGAGCATGGCTCCAGCAGGCTAGGCTCCAGCTTTGGGCGGCACATGCTGCCGCCGAGTGTGCCACTCCGCTTTTTTCCCCCACAGGTTTTTTTGACCCCTGGATATCCAGGAGTCAAAAAACCCCTCCATGTTGCTCCCTTGCAGCCGGAAAGCAACTGAACAAGCAGTATGTGGCACCGCAGATGTGTCTGCGCTCACCTGAATGTGGCCTTTTGGAAAATGCCAGCTCTAAGTTTCCATTAATTTTTTTACTACCAAAAAATAGAGCTATTTTTCTGTTGCAAAGAATTCAGAAAGGCTAGAGCAGGTCAAAATGTTTTTAACTCCATGGATTCCTAATCAAACTATCTGGGCTTATCTTGTGAATCACATTTGCACACCTAACTAAGTTAACATTGTGTGCCACAACACGCTATATAATTTATAACAATGTTAAACAGTTTCAAGTCCTGAGAATTATTAAGAATAGAATCTTTGGTGAATCCTGAAATATGCAAGAGTGGGTAATAAGCTATAATGCTGCAGAAAAAAAAGACTTTGAACAGGCTCTGCTGCATTCAGTAGCTGTATGGCAAGATCTCTTCTGCAAACCTTTCTGCTTTGAGTTTCAAGATCAAAGTTAGCAAGGATTCAAAAAGGTTGACCTGTCAGGTGCCTCTTATTTTTCAACTTCATGAAGCAACCCTGCTAGAAACCTAGCCAGCTCATTGAGTGCCTGCTGGGGGAGTGGAGAGAGAGGGGAGGATTGGGAGGGGATAGATGGACAGACAGATATGGGTATGGTTTGGGGGGGGGGAAAGGGGTTGCTGCCACTGCTGCAATGTCATCAGCTCCACTGTGGCTGGGCTCCCTGCCAGCCTGTGCCTGATTTATTCCCCCACCCCATGCATACATATTGGGCTTAGAGCTGCAGGGGTCCCTGGGGGGAAGGGGGAGAAGGGGGCATGACTCCACTTCCTCACTTGGGCACTGCCCCAGCCAGCACATATGGCCAGGCAGGGGCAGTGCAGGGCTGCCACTGGCATGGCCAAGACTCATGACCCCAACACCCCCTCACAGTCAGCTCCTGGGGTGGGTGCTCCTCTCCCCCTGCCCTAGTTACACTGTCCCTGTCAAGTCTTGCACATTCAGCATGAGAGAATCACTCAGGTTCTAGACAAAACTGAAGCCAAAAAATAAATCTCCTTCTCTTCTGGCAAGTTTCCCACACACACAAGGAAGGATTTTGCAAAATGTACTGACAAGACACATATCACTCATTTAAAATGAGCAGAGTCCCAATAATGGATGCAGGAATTGTGCTTCACTTGTATATATATTTTTTAAGCTGCTCATACTAAGCAAAGATTTCAAGTCAGTAAAAGCCCCCGGCTGGTTATTTTATACACATCAATTTAATATCAAATAGTAAAGAGGTATGCTTTCTTGTCTTCCGTAAATAAACCCACCATATCACTTCTGAATTATAAACGCCTATGTTCACAGCAAGAGCTCTGTTATTGCAATGTCAATACCTTTGTTATTGCAGTTACGAAGTGAACCTCAATTTCTTCCAGAGAGAAATGCAACTTCTGAATGGAGACACTTTCTCTTCCATATTGGAAACTGCAATGGCTTTGAAATTAAACTGTCCATGCTTCACCCTCCTTTCAAATGCTAATTTGACTTGAAATCAAAAACAGGAATTTGAGTCTCATTAAACTACAGCCCATGCCACACCCCATTGTCCAACACTCCCTCCTCCCCACTCCTCCGGCGTGTGATGTTTCTTTCTTTGCAAGGTAAACACGGACTCAAGCATTATTAGTAACAATAACTAGTGTGAAAAGCATTAGCTATAGATGATTGACACTATGGCTGCCAGGAAGATGTATAGCTGCCCCCACGTCGTGTATTTTATACAATCTTGATATGCTGATTTAAAAATCAAACATTATTTTAAATGTCAGCAGGTCATTCCCATGTCTCCTCTCTCATTTTATAAACATACTTATTATTTACTGCAGGGCAGCCCATTGGCCACACGCAGCCCACATGGGGGTTTTTTACAGCCCCCAAGGCTCCCACCTGGCCACTGTTCCTTTGATGCTCTGGCTGCAGCAACAGCTGAAGACTCCAGGCTCCCCCTCCCTCTGCTGCCACCCACGGAGCTGGGGAGAGGACGGAGGTCCCAAACATCTGGCACTGAAGGGGGCTTATCCACTTGTGGCATGGCTCTATATCACAACAGGAGGGCGTGCCTTGCGGCCCATCCCTGATTTACAGGGCAACAAAGGAAAAAACATACACACATAGATACATACATACACATATATATGATGTTAAAAAAAATCAAAGAAATATCAAGGGATAGTTGACTTATTAAAGAAAGATTAGATTAGTTTTCTGTCTACCTTAGGAACGCTTTTTGAAAAGTTGCACCCGCTAGGTAATTGTTGCTGTGCAAATTTGTCAAAATGTACATAAGCCTAAATGTAGATAGGTAGGTTAAAAGACTAACTGGAGGACACAAGAGATTTTTGTTTGTGTTTGAAGGACGTGAACAGTGAGAACAGAATGGTTTTGGATCCAGTGAGCTGTAAACAGAAGCAGTAAAATAAAACAAGGAAAAAGTACATTTAGGCTGAAATCTTTTGGGATAGTGAGGATGCTACTGTTATCCTTTTCTCATGGAGAATAACAAAGTGCCTCTGACTGCAGAACTACAAATAAATACAAATACACAATGGTTTGTTGGTCTATTCCCAATTATTTCTGAAAAAGTTCATCACCAGAGTAGGCAAGTGCTGAAGAAATAATAGTGTTTAAAAGTACACATATTTTTAAAAACAGAAGTGATGAGTTCAGGTCACTGTAGTTAGTGAGGGTGCATTATTTCTTCTGTGAGTACTGAGATGACCAATAGGAATTGATTGGGGGGGGATCCAGAAGCCTAAAGGGATCACAAATTTTGCTAAATCTTCAAACAAAATTAATGTTACCCACTCTTTATCGCTTTTCCACCAATCATTCATTTCTTGCTGTTTAAAAGCTTCAGGCATTAAAACAGGGCTGAATAAGATTATCATATGATCTAAGTTGCAAATTGCAGATAGCAACCAAAGTAAAGAAATCAAAACCAGCCTTGAAGCAAAGCATGTGTGTAGAAACATGTTGATGAAATATTACATGCAACAAATACAGATATACAAATGTAGTAGTTTTGAAGAAAATGCTTCTATTTTTCTTATTCAACACTGAATGCGGATACTGGATTTCCATGATACGTAAAACTGAAACACCTTTTTTCAGCACTTGTTACTTGATTTACGCCATTCTATTCTAAATATATTCTCACCAGCCTCATCACCATAATATCTGAGAGCCTTCCTGTGCAGCAATATGACTAACATCTAGATGTGTTTGTTCTCTCACCCTCTCCCCAGGGATGTAAGTGTATTCAGTGGATTGGTTTGTTTTGGATTTATATATGTGCATTCATGTGTACACAGACAGAGTGTTATAAATTTACATTAAAGGAGGCAAAGTCAAAGAGATACACCTTGGATTTAGAGCAGAAGGTGAGGAGGTTTTAATAGTTCTTAGTTCTTGTGAGAGTTTATTCTGCAATTCTGAACTGGCCCCTGAAAAAACTGTGTTCTGGTTACATCACATTTTCCATACCAACTATGATTTGTCTTACAGCTTCTCACATCATTTCCTATACGAATATCAGTTTGGTTAACCCCCCATTTCCATCCTGTGGGAGAAACCCAAACAGGGAAACATATTCAAAGACAGCATGCCAGAAGGGCTCTTCTTTTTTTGGGGGGGGGGGAAGGGAAAGGAAAAGGAATGTTCTTTTTTGGTATAAAATTAAGAGGAAGTTAAACAGTTTCCTTATGTTACTTCGGTGAGAACGGTCAAAGATCCCACTTGGATGGGTCCACCTTGATCTTGGACCTGAATCAGGAGCACCACCCCTGCTCTCTGAATGCTCAAATGTGAGCAAATGGACTGAGGGGAGTCAAAGCCCTGACTTCAGCCACTACATTAGCATTTTCACTGGCAGCATTAGCTAATTGTTTGCAAGAATTTACTCCTCTCCAAGCACCAAAGCCAGGGAAGGTAGATACATCGGAAACTGGGGCATAATTCAGTCCTAAAGTCAAAGAGTAGCCTGCCTGAAACCTCAGACCGAGCCACAAATGATAAAATAATGCAGCATCAGTGATGTCCCACATGATCCAGTCTGTAACATGAAGAGTCTAGTAGTAAGAGTTGCCCCTCTGGAACTGTACTAAGACCCTTGTCCACAGATGACCATTCAGTCTGAAAGGAAATTAACACCTTTTTCAGTTGTTTCTTATCACTTATGTTAAGACCACCTTCTCTAAGACATTCAAAGTCTATTATATTGTAACTTGCAATTGTCAATGTAAATACCACTGAGCCCAAAACAGAAGCTAAATCCTGGATCTACTGATCCTGGGGTTGTGCATAATGTGAATCAAACCACAAAACCCTGGACATGAATACAGTGGAATCTTTGGCTTTTTGAAATGTGAATTTAAGTTTAGTTACTATAAAGCTACAAACTGCATCATTAACTACTTTGAAAACATGCTCTCCTGCCCACTCTGTTGATACAGTTTATAATCTACACTGACAAAAAGCAGGTTGTTTCAGTGAAGTACTTCTGACAAAGTTGAAATGATTTTGTGTGATTCTTTTTTTTTTTTTAAGAAACGTCTGCATGATCTTTAAGAGGGAATAGCATCATGCCATTAGTTTCGGTTTCCTTCTCTTTCTCTGACTCTGCTTCCGCTCCTGTTTTTTAACCTTTCTGCTGTTTTACTACTCCCCTCCCCCTTGTTCTCTTATTTTGATAAGAAACCTTCAATACAATACTTTTTACTGCATCACAGAAGCCTTTTCCAACAGGTAATGGTGATCTCAGTCACTTTAAAAAGAAGATTTTAGTTTAAAAGTGGTATCTCCTATGCGTTCTCTTTCTCTGTGAAAAGTCTCTGGGGAACTTTTCAAATTAACAATTGAAAACATCAGGCTTAGAAAAGACTATGTTCCCACTTGTAAGAGAGAACAGAATGACTGGAGACAGATAGCATAATGCCACAACAATGGTGCATCCATTGTCAAGCAGACCACACAATACTGCAAACCTCTTGGTAATGCTTAATTGAAAGAGGAAGACTATTCCATTCATCCCATTGTTAATATGTTAACAGTGTTAATTATCTAAATAGTTGATGGACTGACAACTTCAAATTAAGAGTTTATACTGAAACATCATTTTCCTTTTTCTCTTGGTTTAAAATGAACGGGTAAATCCTATCAAGGACAATTGCAGTCTTAGGCGAGATAGTAAGGATACCTGGTACTTTACAGCTTCAAAGTATTTTACATACATGAACTAATCAAACTTAAAACCCCCCCAACAACCTAGAAGACAGTATTTTGGAGGTAGATAAGATGGTAGCAAGGTAAGTAAAACTGAACCAAATTGAGAATTATAGCTTTAAGTCCCACTTCCATACTTTTGTCTTGCTCTAGTTATTTATACCCATTTTCTAGTCAACTATCTATTATCAGTTAACAATCTACAAATTTTGGAGCAAACCACTTACTAATTATCTATTTTTGTATCTTAAATCAGTTTAAGAAATACTGTTTCGTGTAAAAATTAATATTTTAAAAAGCTTCAATTTTGGTTATAACACAGCTCTCTCTTTCTGTCTCTCTCCTTCTCTGCCCCCCTCCCTTTCTCTCCTGCTGTTCTAGGAAAATTCTTGAAAATGTGAGACTGACTTCTGTTGAGAACAATAGAAGGGAAAAATCATTTTTTTTTCTTAATGTTGCTGATACTGCTTCAAATGAGGCTCTGAAGAAACCTCATCCTGTTTAACTTAACAATACTGTCCTAAGTACCAACATAAAATTAAAGAAAAAGTAGCACAGGAGAAAGATGTTAAAGTGACTTGGAAATAAGCAATGTTCATGCGCATACTTGTATCTAAACAAAATCTTGTACAATTTTCCAAACTATGGAAAAGTAAGAATAGGCCTAAACAGATAGGAACAATTTAGGTTTTAAATATCACATAATGTTTAGTGGCATTGCAAATCCACAGAGAATTGCACAACAACGTGAGTCAAACACAAGTATAATATCAATTTTCAGTTGCAAAAGATAACAGATTAAAAGTCCCTGATAAGTACAAAAGTCCTAAGCAAGAAAGTAACAAAGACTTAACCCCAACTACAAAATTCCACTGTTTTTCTACTCTACATACTAAATCTAGAAAAGAATTAAGAAAATATTTATATTTCATAGTTTCATAGTTTCTAGGGTCGGAAGGGACCTAAGCAGATCATCTAGTCCGACCCCCTGCCATGGCAGGAAGAGCACTGGGGTCAAATGACTGCAGTAAGGTGGTCATCCAACCTCCGATTTATCTTGCCCTTTTAAAAAAGTCACTTTCCCCAAACTCTAGCTCACCTGCTTTTACTACCAATCTCCCAAACTTTACCTTTCAGGTTAACTCTACTCCCCAGGATGACCTTTGGTCAAATATGCACCAATCAGCTGCATACTTTTTTTTTTTAAATCAGATCTCTACAGGCAGGCTTGTGCCCTAAAATTGTGGAGTTTGTCCAAAACATTTTGTTCTTCCCAAAGCAAGCGAGTGATTGAATGTGGATCCTTGGGTATTAGAAATATAAAAGGAAGAGGAAAAAGGGGTTTAAAACTTTGTGAAAAATGAGGTCTATAATTATTTTGTATTTACTATTATAAATTATGCATGCTACTTTATAGCCGAATAAAAGAACCAGTTCCTTATCCCAATGTGTTTATAATCTAAATTAACTAGTAGAACAGAAAATCTGAGACAGAATGAGAAGTGAAAATAAGTAGGGGATTCTGCTGTAGTAGACTTAAAAAACATAAATGAAAAGCCATATGGGTACTGTAATAAGAAAAAAGAACATACTTTGCTTAATAACTATTTTTAGTTTAACCAACCTTACAGCTAAGTTAACTTGTGTTTGGGAATTTGTGCTTTAACTGATAGAACCTATTCCCTCCCTTTCCTCTTTATTTTCATTCCCTGGTAACATACCAAGTCTCTAGCTCCTTATCAAATCTGATACATGGTTTGTGTCAAAAGAGTTGAATTGGTAGAACTAAATGGAACTAGTTATACCAGTGAACATACTTAATATAGTGTATTTATATTGGTTTGCTTCAGGTTTAAATTAATTGTTATTATAGTAAGATAAAATAGATTAGGCATGTTCATAATGAAGACTGGCCACCAATGTGGCTGGATGGATTTTCATTATGCTGGTGGAACCTTTTTTTAATGTAGTCTTGATCATCTCCGATGAGGAAAAGAGCTTCTCAACCTTTTTAGACAATTGGAAAGAAACAACTATAACAATAGCTTACATTTACACAGAGAGGTTTTTTTACTGAAGAGTTTAACAGACTGACTTTATAACTTCACTGAAATTCATCCACTTCTGGTTAAAAGATAGGCAGGGATCTGGCATACATACAGCAGTGAAAGAAAAATGTTGGCATTGGCACGCACACTGGCACAACCTGCTAGTTTTATGACAAGAAGACAGACTTAGACACAGTGAGGTCCAACAGATCTCTCTCATAACAGAAGAGCTATCCCTTTTAGTAGTTTTGAAACCCCAGCAGAAAGGTACTTTAGTGTCTGTAATGTATGCCAGGGTTTTTAAGAATTTCTGAGGGTTCAGTGTACAACCCACATGGAAATACGGTTGATCTGTTTTGGAAGGAAAGGAAGTCTCATTAGACCTTCTGGGATTTGAACTCCAGAGACTAGCTCAGTGGTTCTCAACCTTTTCAGACTTAAGACAACCCTCAGAAAATACCAGCACCTAGCTTTCACTTGCTTCCTGACTACAGAAAAATAATAGAGCAATTTTGTTGCAAATAAGTTGGAAGCGCACAACAAATATGTTTTTTGACATCATGGCTTCCTATTTGAAATCCCGGGGGTTATCATACAAATCATGCGTAGGTATAAAAATACCTAACGGTGCTAATGCAACACCCATAGCAGGATCTCAAGGCATGCCAGGGTGTTGCACCAGCTTGGTTGAGAAACACTTGACTAAATTTTGGTCATGCATCATTACAGGAGCTGACACAGGATAGTCAGGAATCTGTTGATATTGAACATACATTTTATACCTGTCCATCTGCCTATTGATTCTTTATAGGCTTTGAATTTACCAGATACCCAGCTGCTGGAAGCAACTACAAATATGCAAGGTTTTGGGAGCCTACCAGGGAGGACCGGTGGAGCTGCCTTGGTGAGTACAGTCTAGCAAGTCTGCCCTTTAGTTTCTAGAAAATGTATTGGGATTTCTATCAGAGCGCTATTTCTGTATCCAACCCTCCTCAGGACTCTTTCTTTCATGCCTGCCTCTGGCTAGTAGGTGTTAGCGAAACAGAGAGAAATAGACAAAGGGTTTTTAAACCCGAAAGCTTGCCAAAAATGTTTTCCTCCCAACTATTTAAGCTGGTCTAAAAAGGTATCAGATTCACCCACCGAACCTTGTCTGCCTTAGAGAAATATGAAACTCTACCGTCTTCTGTAGAAGGCAGTGTATGATTTCCGCCTCCTTCCTCCCCCCAGCAAGATTTCCTCGCTGCTATGATGATGGATGGGATTGTTTCTGCTTCTTCCCTTCCTTCAGAGATAATTAGCGACTGGGAGAGGAAAAGTAGTCTCTGGTACACTCCTTCCCAAACTGGGTGTTTTGGAGCCTCCCTCTCGCGTATCAATAGCTCCACTGCCTGTTTCCGCGATGCATCCTCTTGACGAATGGGAACAGCAGCGCGGAATAAACGAGATTCGTGACTGTTTCGCGGTGGTCCTTTGGGTCAGCCACGAATTGAACCGTTTCACCGGCAAAAACATCACGCAACGTGGGAGCCGCCTCGGCTTCTGACTCCGAATATCTTGACATCTGGAAGGTGATCTTTGCCACGGCAACCATTCGAAATCAAAGGGGCTGTTTTAAAGAAGGTAATATTTGGCACGCATGCACAAAAAAAAAAAAAGAAGAGATTGTTCAGGTTGTTTATTTTTGCTAATATTTGGCTAAATAAGTAAATCATTGTTTAGGGGAAACCCCAACGAGTGATTTTTTTGGTTTTTTTCCCCCAGGACGGTTCACAGATAATTACGCGGCATGCAAAGCTGAGGGGAAATAAATATAAATGAGCTTGCTGATTTGTTTCTAAACATCCCCAATCTTCTGTGTGGTTTAATTTAAGGATCCTTCCCCCCCCTCCCTTATGAAGGACCTTTCTAAGAGAAATGCGACAGCCCACCAGTTTTCCCAGGACGGGCTCGTTTACAACAGAGAAACTTGGATTGAAAGTTAAAAAAAACAAAGAAAAACACCCCAAAAACATTTTAATCCCGAGCCATGATCTTGCCCCAGGGCGGAGGCTGCCCGCTGTCTCCTGAGGGGCCTGCTCACCGCTGCAGGCAGCCAGGACACGTGCGAGGTGTGTGAACGGGTCCAGCCCCGTGGGACGTAGCGGTGAAGACAGGTCGCGTGGGACCAAAACAGCGTGTTGTACCTGACGGGAAGCGCGGGGGTGGCGTCACCCCCCCTCCCGCCCGCGACGTCAGTTCCGGGGCCGGAGACAAAATGGCGGCCGGATGGTGCCGGAGCCGGGGGTAGCGCTGGGCCACTTAGAGCCGGGCCGGGCCGCGGGGGCAGGCGGTGCAGGTAGGAGCCGGGTCCGGGCCCGGGCCTGGACAGCGCTGCGGCGCGGGGACGGGGACGGGCTATGCCGGGGTGGGGACGGACACACGCACGCACAGGCAGAGACACGCGCGTGGACACGGATTGACAGACACCTGCACACGCCCACAGCCGAGACGCACAGCGCAGCCCGGCCCCCCGCGGGGGCACCCGCAGCAAAGGCAGACACGCGCGGCCTGGCCCCCGGCGGTGACACCTGGGTCCCCCCACCCCTCCCCGCACACAGACACCTGCACGCCCACGGCAAAAACAGACGCGCACCCCCCTGCCTCCTCCAAAGATAGACACACACACACGCCTTCCCCACAGGGACACCTGTACACGGACACCTGCACACGCCATGTAGACGCCCTCCTGCAGAGACACTGACAACAGACAGATGCACACACGCCTGCCTCCTGCAGAGACGCACGCTTACACAAAGACACACAGCCTTCCCCACACTGACACCGCTACAAAGACACCTGCACATGCCCATGTAGACACCCCCCCCCGCCCGACACTGACAACAAAGACAGACATGCATGCCTCTGGCAGAGACACCCTCACACACACACACAGAGACACGTGCATGCACCCCCTGCCCCCAAACAGGCACCTGCACACCCACAGCAAAGACACGCACGCACCCCTGCCTCCCACATAGACACCGGCACACACCTACACAAAGACACGGACACCTTCCCTACAGACACCCACACAGAGAGATACCTGCAGACATCCCCCTACTCCTTCCATAGATACTTATACACAGACACTTGCACATGCCCACACAGACACCTCCCTTGTCCCCCCTCCACACACACCCCCACAACAAAGATATACACGCCACCTCCTGCAGAGACACCTGTGCCCTCCCAACACACAGGCATGCACACTGCACCCCCTGCACACCTCCCACTGTCGGCCAGCTCCTGCCTCTTGCTAGTGGGTTTAAAAGAGATGGTGAGGTAGGGCTCCCCCCTCACCCCACCCCACCCTCCAGTGCAGAAAGAGGAGAGGGGGAATCGGTTGGGCAAAGGGCACTGTGTCCACTGAGATGTCTCCCGAGCTTCCTCTTGGAAGTAGTTTCTCAGAGGCCTGCATGTGTGTGTGTGGAGATATTGAAGATGCACAAGGCTCAGGATAAATTGCACAGATGTAGTGAGTCTCCTGCTCTGGTTTAGACTTGTCAGTGAAAGACCTTTTGCATCCAAGCATCTTATGACACTGAGCTCGCTGTCTATTGAAATGGGTCACAGCTGATCTTTGAAGCTCATCTAAAAGCACCCAGTTGAGCTTTTCATTGGGTCTGGAGAAAAATCACTCCAGCACTTTCAGAATCAGGCTCTTTACCTCATTGCTCATGTTCTCTTTGAAGCCACAGAGCTCTGGCATGTACATACTGTGGTTTATTAGTGAGAGAAATGGTTTCTTAGGGAAACAACATGCTTAGGGCTGTGTAGATCAAAACCAGCAAATTTAAACACAGCTTCTAACTTACTTTAAAAGCAATTGCGGGATATACAGTATTGGTGCAATGGTCCTTTGTGCAAAAAAACTATCTAATGAGGACATGGGGCTTTCTACACTAAAGTTTTCAAATGGTCTTCAGCTGTAGAAACTACAGCAAGAGTTTTATTTTGAAATGAGGCAAGGAATTTTTGGGGTAATATTTCTTACTGGACTAACTGCATACTTGGGGCACAGTTAGACAGGCTTTTGAACTCAGCATTTTTTTTCAATGACTTGTTGCGACTTGCAGTACTCTGAGAGAGAGTGCCTTGCATGTGAAAGCAGTTAGTCCAATAAAAGATATTGCGCAAAAAAATCCTTGCCTTTCACACAATCCTGGGTCATCATGACTTCAACATCACTCTAACGTTACCATTTTGAGAGGACAAAGAACATGTCAAGCTCTTTGCATCTAGTGTAGACTGAAAAAAGCTGCCTTAGTCACAGCCACTTCTTGAGCATCCTGTGAAAGAGCTAGCATAACCTCCATATTTGGTATTTAAATAATTAAGGGCATGCACACCAATTAGTGAGTTTAATTACATCTCTCATACTGTTTCAGTTCATGTCTTCCACACGACCAGTATTTTCCTATTCTTCCTTTATAAATTTCTTTATAAATATCCTATTCTCAACCAGTTATACTCTATCTCACTAGCTCGATTAAAAAGGATGGACATGTGGAACAGGGTGTTGACATAATGAAATCACTATAGCATGTCTGAGCCTCCTGACGTCCTGCTAGGACTATGCACACCGTTTTTTAGATTTCGGTATTCTAACCTGTCAAGACTTCTGGTACAACTCCAATAATGCCAACCAATGTAGACTAGCTTCCAGTATTTTAATTCCTTTATTATCTAGACCTTGTCAATTAGGCTAAGATAATACAGTGGTTAAAACAGTGGCAACGGGTCAACGTTCACACTTCCATGTTGTTATTGCAAGTGGAGTTGCACCCCTGATAGCAACAGTGAGTAATTTTAAGAAACAAAATGCCTATCAGACTTGCATGCACTGAACTGTACATGTGACCAGAAGAACCCTGTGGTGCCCTTGCATGACAGCACTGGCCCATCTGCCTGAAGCCTGTCCTCGGGGATCTCCGAGAATGAAAGGAATAGGGCAACAAGCTCTCTGTCCTGGCAAATGTAGCAGACACGTGGCCAAAATTTCACGCTCAGTAGTATTGTAGGCAGCTTCCAAATGTGAAACTGTCAGTGTAAATGTTTCCGTCACACAATTTCCTGATGGATGTATTAGTAGGCAGACCAGGCTTTAGGTTTCCAGGACAAGGATTATGCATATACGGGTACCAAAGTTGGGCAGATACTGACAACAGGCTTTTCCCAGCATGGCAGAGGAAGGAAAGTGTGCTGCATATGTTCACCTGTGTTTAGTTGAAGGTTGCAGGTTTTCAGGGGTTGGACTGCACATACTCTGTTCTCTCCTTTCCAGGAGTAGGAACTGTTCAGATAGAAGGATCAGTCTTTGTTTTAAAAACTTGTGGTGTTTTCACTATAAAAAAGCAGGTAACAAGCGTCTTGACTCTGCTTGTGTAGATTCTGTGCGTTGCCTGAGTAGATCTTTGCTGCACAGTTCCCTGTGTTTTGTCTTTCTGCATAAGTCTGTGCCTAAAAGTGTAAGGGAAAAATATAGCAGTAAAGGAAAGTGAATCTAAGTTTTGCTTAGTAAGTGCTGTAGCTATTAAGATTTGAAATGGTTGATGAATGGCTTAAGTTCAGGTCTTCACTGCAGAGATCATTGTGTTTTAGTGGTGTATCCAAGTAGCTGTTGAAGCACATAGGATCCTTTGGCCTGAGAAGGGATACGACGTGAATGTAAAATGTTAAGCATTTTTGTTGCTTAGATGTTGCCTACTGCAGGTAAAAATGTCCAGAGTGCCTATTGAATCTGACAGGTGTGATAAGATCCTTTTATTAGGGGTCTATAAATTCAGCTGGAAAATATACATGTTGGGAGACCTTGTATATCAGCTTAATCTTTTCTTTAAATTAATCTTCCTTCTGCTCTTTTTAGTTAGGGCAGTCATATTTATTGCTGTCAGATGTGGAATTTTGACTTGCTTGTCCATTATGCCTTTTTTTGTTCATTTTCCCACAAGGTTTATTGTAATGCCCAGTCAACTTTTAAATCCTGCTCATCAGCATATATGAGCTACTTTTATGTATATGAAAGTTCTGCCTTTTTCATGACCATTCAAAAAACTGAGTCCACATTATTGTGATGTTTTTATATCAACAATATTATAGGGCAACTCTATATGTAATAATGTCTTGGAAAGAAAACCAGTTTCAGCATAATGTTCTTAACTGGGTGCTTCCATTTCAGCCTGCATCAGTTTTTTTAAGAATGCTTTGAAGTTCACCTAGTCTTGATGCATATCAAGAGACTCTTAAAGGACTGCTGCATATTTCATGGTGTATTTGCTAGCTGGTTAAAGAGCAGACCTAAACTTGAACTCAAATATTTAAAAAACATAGCTTTAGCATTTTGTGGTTTTGAAGTCATGTTTTTAGTTTAAAACTGTTCTCTCCTCTGTTAACATATAAAAAGCCCAACCAAAAAAAAAAAGGGAGAAAGGTAGTTTTTAAAGGAAAGATACCATACATAAAGTATGGCGTTATGACATTGACCATACATAAAGTAAGATCAACTTAAGATGAGGAAAAATGCTTCCTTTTAGCTTTCAGTTAAATTTAGATACTCCCTGCAACAACGATAGCTAACTTAAATTACACTTCCCTCAGAAACTAAACCATGTTCTTGTTGAGGTGAATGATTGAAACAAAAAGCAAAGCAGTCTGTCTACTATTTATTTTTCCTTTGGGTTTTTTGTTGTTGTAATATGGAGGACATGTTATTTGGTTGCTAGGACCCCAGACTTCTCTTTCTCTCTTACTACTAACTTTTTCATGCAATCATGAGCAAATGACTAACTTTCCTGTGCCTGAGTTTAGCTGTTTAGAAGGTCATAATGCTTATAGCTCACAATGATGTTGTAAGATTTAATGGCTCATTATAAAACAATTTGGGGTTCTCTAATGAAAGACACAAGATAAGCACAAAATATTAATATTATATCTGAGTGTACCCAGATAAGTGATGATGTCTTTACAGTTTTATTTCTGTCTATTGTAATCTAGTATTGCAAGGTATGAAATGTAAAGTTATTTGTGTTATGCCTTGGAGGTGCTGAGGAAGGATGGATGGGCAGCTTTAACTTATATTTACCTTGTTTGGGTTATGACCAAGTTATAGTTTTAATGCAGTCTGAAGTGTGTAATTAGGCTATTTACCATCCCAGAGTCTTGCTTATGTAGCTGTACTTTATCCCCTTCCCCCTGACTATTCTAGTAGTTATTCTTACAATGGGAAGAAGTTAGTAGTTCTTGAAAAATTGTGGCTGGAAGCAGAGGAGTGGGGGTTACGTTGGAGAGTGATTAGAA